AGCAGGGCCCTCGAACCCCTCGTGTATTGTATTGTTACTGTATTGTCTCATGTACTGTCTCCCACTATAATGTACAGTGCTGAGCAAACCTTTTGGCGCTATATAAATACTGTATAATAATAATAATATATATTATGATGTGCATTAAAAGATGTGTTGGGTGTGAATAAGTTCTTAAAGGGTTTGTAAAACCAAAATTTCAAATTCCTGACATGTGCCATGTACTTGTATGAAAAAGTATCATGTTCTTTTTGTATCGCATCCTCTGTGTTTAATGCCTGATCACACAAGGCATAAGAGCACAGCATGGTCACTTTTATGGCTACGCTGAGAACTCAGATTGCTCTCCTCCAATGATCACACTTGTGCTGACACCCCTCCCCCTGCACAGCCATTAATTGGGAACACCAGTGCCCTGCTGTTTCTCCTCCCCCAGCTCTCTATGCGGTTGAAAACAGAGGGTATGGGAACTCTTTACAAAAAAAGAGGAAACTGGTATTTATAATATTTTTATATGTATAACCAACAGTTTTGCTTTTCATTTCTATTACAAACTAAATTTAGGTGAGGTTTGCATATACTTTAAATTATAGTTTGTATGTGTGTGTGTGTATAACTGATAACTAATATTTACATGTTCTCCTATATATTTGGCCCTATATGTACTTATTAATGGATCATATATTTGTTGACTTACTGAATTACTAATTTAAATGATTTTCGTCACCAATGGATCCAGGCTGTGCATCTAAACCGTTTAAAGCCATCATTTCTAAGGGGCATAACACTAATTGTCATGAGATTACAGTGAGAGATTACAGGGAATTCCACTCGTCCTCAGCACACAGCACGCTATTGTGGAGAACCTGTTAATAGCAAGCCTTTGCATCCTACAACTTGTTTAAACAGGCTTGGAGAGGCAGACAAAAGGAGGCTACAGTTTGCTGAGAAGGAAGCAGAAGTGCAGGGTGTAGTGGAAAATGAGACCACCAAGCAGAGTGTTAATAGAGGAACAATATGTCTGAAGTGAGGACAGCTGGGTAGAGCTCCAGGAAAAACAAGCTAGTTAAAGTAAATGATAGCATACAGTGGGATGAAATCCTGTTTTGGGTAGGGTTTCTGTGGGCCTGATTTCAATGAATAGAAAAGCTGGCCATACATAATTAGATATTCAAATGAATGTTTGTACCAAAGTTTGTACGAACATTCAGCTGAAAAATTTCAGTTCTTCAGATGACTTGATGATTTTCATTTAAAAGTACTTTAAAATGTCAGTTTCTTTTAATATTCAACTTTGGAACAAATGGACTCTCTCGAAGGAAGACCACATTCACTGTTAGAAATTGTTTAATTTGAGAAAACTTTTTCATCCTGCTTCTTCAAATTATCTCGTCCCTGTGGTAGAAAATGAACGTTGGTTTGACCCTGCTAACAATTTCAGTTCTTCAGATGACTTGATGATTTTCATTTAAAAGTACTTCAAAATGTCAGTTGCTTTTAATATTTGACTTTGGAACAAATGGACTCTCTCGAAGGAAGACCACATTCACTGTTAGAAATTGCTTAATTTGAGAAAACTTTTTCATCCTGCTTCTTCAAATTATCTCGTCCCTGTGGTAGAAAATGAACGTTGGTTTGACCCTGCTAACAATTAGAAACATTCTTAAAATGAAAATTTGGAACAAAATTTTACACAAGTATGGGCAGCTTAAAGGTTAAATTCACTTTTTAGACAAAAGTAATAAAATGCACATTTTTTGCAGGAAAAAAAAATGTGCATTTATTATTTTTGTCTACAGTAGCCTGGAAAGCATTGCACCAGTGATCAGTAGATTTCTGATGCCATGCAGGTCTCCTGCTGTACGGGATGGAACATGTAACATGTTCCCAAAGGTGAACTTATCCTTTAAGGTATTTAGTAGAGGAAAATAAAAGGGGAATACAAGTGAGAGTCTAAGGCCCTGGTACCCAACCTGCAACCCAATGGGCCCTTTGGTATAAGATTTGTGGACTTTGGACCTCAGCATTCTGTAGTTTCAACATTCATAAGGGTAATGGCATTGATCTCTACTAACCTCATATAACATTTTCCCAGTTTCATATTGTCTTCTGCAGGAGATCCTTAGCCAAATATGCATCCTGTCCACACTCTCTGACCATCATTTCCTCTAATAATTCTGCAGTTTCTGACAGTCCTCTGAAGCATTACATATATTGAACATTATATGCTGCCCTTTGGTGATGTCACGGGCAACATTGGAGGCCCTCTTTAGCTCATAAGTTGACAACCATTGGTCTAAGGCCTCAGGCACACTGTAGTTTAAAAACTCTTGTACTAGCATTTGCGTTTTTATGCCTCTGTTTCTAAGCTCCCCTCCATGCTAGCCTATATGTCCAAGCACACATAGGCATTTAGAAACAGGGGTGTTTAGAGGCAAGAAAAGAACCTGTGTGTTCAGAGGAACATTTGAGCAGAAAAAACATGAATAATTGCACATAAAATCTCACGTTTATGTGCATTCGTGCGTGAATGTATTCTAATGGCCACAATAAATTAATATTCTGGCCAATAGAATGCATTAATGCAAAATGCGCAAGCCTGCATGAAAGCTTGTGATCAACACAGCTTTTATTGCGTTTTTAAGCTGCTTTTCTCCTGTAAGGAGAAAAGGCTTCCAAAGGAGTGCAGTGTACATGAAGCCTAAAGGTGATGGTTTTTGGGTGTTCTATCTGAACAGTTTTAACTTTTGACCAAAGAGATGCTTTAATGCATTTTAACAGTGGAAAGATGCAGCAGTAACAAACATTTTGGGAGAAGCAAATTTTTGTTTTATATTAAACAATTGGAAACTGAGGGTTAAGTGAAACTGAGGATCATGTGTTATAGGTGCAGCAGAGCAGAGAGTTTTGTTTAATAAGAGGAGGCTTAGAAAATGTAGCAGAAAGAGAGCAGTACTAGATTTTTGCAGAATTCTTTCTCTGCCTTCTTTAATTGATTAGTTAAGCTTTACCATACCATCACAGGTTATTTGGCTCCTACAATAACTGTCAACCAATGAATTCTTCGTCTACATCAGAGAGAAAGCATATGAAAGAAAGAGTGCGCTGTGTTTTGTCATTAGAGGAAATAGAAGGGAAGAGGTTAACGTTCTCCGCTATCAGCGATCCCGCTGACTCTACAGCTAGATGGACCAGACGCTTCGGGAAACAATAGGGACTTGCCTAATCCCACAGACAGCATCCTAGTGAAATCCCCCCTATTGTGAGATCTGGGACACTGTCTGTGCTGTAGGTTGAGGGGGAAGGGGAAGATAGTTAAGTTGCTTAATTAGAAATATGCAAAAAAAAAAAAAAAAAAATGATTTGTGTGGTACAGACAGATAAGTGTTTATCAATCACCGGAAAGAATCTCTTGTAACTATTTGGCATCCTTGTTTTTATTTTCATACTGGGGGGAGAATAATAACAATTGAAATTGTTGAGTTGTTTTCAGTGGTCTATTCACAGTCTCCTGTGAAAAAAATAAAAGTGAGTAGCTACAAAAACTGTAGCTGGTGAATTTTAAAAAACAGCCACTCACCTGTCCCTTGATCCAGCGATGTTCTCACTGTAGCCGGCTGTCCTCTCTCCCCGGCACCGGCATCTTAAGTGTGGGTACCGGGCTGTGAGCTTGTGGGTTCACAGCTGGGTATCCTACTGCGATTGTGCAAGCAGCGCTGCACATTGTAAATGATCTACTGGGACCTGTCACATATCCCAGAAGACTGCAGGGGGAGGAGAAATTCTACTTCCGATCTCATAGGTGGTGGGAGCGGGTACTTTGTGGACTTGGCTAACTGACAAGGCAGTCTGATTTGTGACTAAAACCAGCCAAAGATTGAAATTCAGCCAGTTCTGCAGGGACTGGACAAATTTCAACCTATGTATGGGCAAGCTGGTTGTACTGAAGTCAATCCGTTAATTGACTTCAGTACAACCAGCCTGTCAGGTGATTATTGCATTCTAACGCCTGAAAACCGCCCACTGTCAGAATATTAAAGCTCCATGGGAGGGATTCCCCCATCAACACTGAATTGTTGATGGGGGAATCAAGCAATTTTCTTTCCTGCAACACGTGATTCCTGGGGAGACTCTTTTTTTTTTTTACAGAGGCATACATTCTCATACTCTAATTCATTGTCGCAGTCCATTTTCCATGTCTGATGACTCTCGTCATTTTTCCCGATCTTTACTTGAAGGCTGCTAATTTTCTTTTCCTTCAGAAAAAAATGGAGCATTACTGTTCAATTGGTTGGATCACTAACTCTCTACTCCATACATTGTTAGACATGTATTACTTGTTCACGCCATTTTTCCTTTTCTGATTTTAAATGTTGCTGTCAGGTTCCTTCATCGGTTGTCCCATACTTAAAGTGGTTGTAGACCTCCACCTTGTAAAACAACCCATTCAGTTTGAAATAGAAATGAAAGGCAAAACATTTGTGTATAGATATCAAAAAACATAAATACATTTTTTTACAAATTTTTTTTTTTTTTAACCACTAGCCTACAGGGCACTTATACCCCCTTCCTGCAAAGGCCAATTTCCAGCTCTCAGCGCTGTCACACTTTGATTGAATGAATATGACAATTGTGCGGTCATGCAACAGTGTACCCATATGAAATTTTTATCATTTTTTTGAGACAGAGCTTTCTTTTCTTAATCACCTCTGGGATTTTTATTTTTTCTTAAACAAACCAAAAACCACAGAAAATTTTGAAAAAAAAGTTTTTTTCTTAGTTTTTGTTATACAATTTTGTAAATAAGTGATTTTTCTCCTTCACTGATGTGCGCTAATGAGGCTGCAGTGATGGGCACTGATAGGCTGCACTGATACATGACACTGATACATGAGACTGATATATGGCACTGATAGGCGGCACTGACTGGCACTGATAGACGGCACTGACTGGCACTGATAGGCGGCACTGACTGGCACTGATAGGCGGCACTGACTGGCACTGATGCGCACTGATAGGCGACACTGACTGGCACTGATAGGTGGCACTGATTGGCAGCACTGATAGGTGGCACTGATTGGCATTGATAGGTGGCACTGACTGGCACTGATGGGTGACATTGAAAGGCAGCTCAGATGGGCACTGATATGTGGCATTGATGTGCACTGGTATGCACTGATATGTGGCATTGATGTGGCACTGATGGGCAGTGGCACTGATGAGCACTGACAGGTGGCACTTCTGGGGCCACACTGATCATCAGGGCACACTGATCATCAGTGCCCTGATGATCAGTGTACATGTCCCCTCCGCGGAAAGCCGATTACCGGTTCTCCTCTCGAGCTGTCAGCGTGACAGCTCGAGAGGAGAGAAATGCCGATAACCGGCATTTCCGTGTTTACATGTGATCAGCTGTGATTGGACACAGCTGATCACATGACCGAGCCAACATCTTCGGCTCTTTCCGCGATCCACTGTGTCCGAGGGACACAGCGCACCGGCGATTGCTGCGCTGCGCGCTCCCTGAGCCGCGCATGCGCAGTTAGAATGGTAGGACGTCATATGACGTCCTATCAGAACGAGAGAACCACCTTGCGCCTGTCATTGTACTATAGGGCGGGCGGAAGGTGGTTAAATAAGTGATCACATTTCCTCAGTTCACAGCTGCATAAAAGCTGGGGGAGGATAAACAGCAGTACACTGAACTTCCCAGTGAAAGGCTGTGCAGGAGGGGGTGTTAAGGCCAGGTTGATCAATAGAGGAGAGCACACTGAGTTCTCAGCACATCTAGTGGACTGACCACACTGTGTTATCTTCCTTAGAGGGCCTGGCTGGAGTGGCACTGGCTGAGGCCATCCACATATTCATGCACTAGGTGGGTGGGTGAGTGGTGCTTCTTCCTTTCTCTGATCCTGCTTCTATACCCCTGAATGGTGCATAGGCGCCTGTTTCCTTTGCTGCAAACAGCAGAAAGAACCTCTCAGCTTAGAGCGCCACAGCAAGTTATACCTAAATCCTGCTTAGTGTGGTCAGTTTTTATTAGGAAAGCAGAGGAACTGGTAGGAACACCAGGGATTTCACACAAAGGAAGCAATACAAAGAGAACAGGATACTTTTTCATAAAAGTACTTGGTAAAGTAGGCAACATATCGGAATATGAAATGTTGAGTTTACATATTCTTTAATGCAGTGAAGGCAGTACACTCAAAATGTTTCTCTGTCTTTCTCACAAGGAAATATCCATCTTTTATTGGTCCTGTACTTACTGTTTGGTCTGCAGACAGGATTTCATGTTACCTGACTACAGAGTTTCCCTCTGTAGCATAGCAAAAGTCTGGAAATCTTTGAGGGACCTAATCCCTTTCATACTACCCCTCTATCAAAGCTAATTGTCTCAGGTAGCAGCACATTGATTTCCTCCTTGGGAAAAAATCCTTGAGCCCATTTTGCTCTTTCTCATGATTTCAACCCCCTTACATGCTCTTTCTCTCCTCTGATGCAGTAGCTCTGAGCTCAGGGTTTGAGAGCTTGTTCCTGTGATGGTGGAGGTGAACAGTAACAGCTGGGAATGTCTTAGCAATGTTCAAGCAACAAGGGTGTACGGGATGATGCGATCCCTGGGTGTAAGAAAAAGGCCTATACCTATAGCGAGGGCATTATTCAACTTTGTTCAAAGCTGCACAGTTTGTTTTTATCTAAAAGTGCCCCGTACCTGCATAGGCAATTTTGTTGGTGAAGGTATGTTTTTGGTAAACTATTAATCCTTTGGCTGTTTACTGGTTAATCTGTGTGTTTGGACATACATTGTCTATCAAGCAAAGCAAAAGGGAGTCGAGAGGGGCACCAAGGAACCGTATAGTGTAATAGGTTAGTTTTAGAATACAATAAAAACAATAATATTGCACTCACAAGTACATAGAAGATCTAGGCTCGTTACTGGGAAGCTGGTTCCTGGTAAGGGATGAATGGGGGCTCGACCGTAAAGGCAGGACCACTGGACCAGGAGGCAGCAACCACCGCAGAAGCCACTGGGAGCCTAGAGCTGAAATTTTATTGTTTTGAGCATAAGATCTTTCAAAGCACACAGGCTTCTGGGATACACGTTTTATGAGCTAACATGCCCCCTTCCTCAGAGACTGAGGAAGGGGCGTCTCAGCTCCTGAAACACATATCATAGAAGCTTGTGCATGTTAGCAGATCTTATGGTCAAAACAATAATAATGCACTCACAAGCACATAGAAGATCTAGGCTTGTCACAGGGAAGCTGGTTCCTGGTAAGGGATGGATGGGGGTTCAACCGTAAAGGCAGGACCACTGGACCAGGAGGCAGCAACCACCGCAGAAGCCACTGGGAGCCTACTGCTGAAACCACTGCTGTGATAACACCAGGACTCTGGCATACGATCTTTCAAACCACACAGGCTTCTGGGATACACGTTTCAGGAGCTGACATGTCCCCTGCCTAAGATACTGAAGAAAGGGGTGTGCATATCCCAGAAGCCTGTATGCTTTGACAGATCTTATGGCTAATTCGTGGTGTTATCACAGCGGTGGTTTTAGCAGCTTCCTCTTCAGTTCCAGTGGTAGGCTCCAACTTTTACTGCAATGGTGGTTGCTGCCTCCTGGTCCATTGGTTTTCGCAGTGCTGGTTGCTTCCTCCTGGTCCAGCGGTCCTGCCCTTGCGATTGAGTCCCCAAGAACCAACCTCCCAGTGACAAGCCTAAATCTTCTATGTGCTTGTGAGTGCAATATTATTGTTTTTATGTTATTCTAATAAAAGGAACCTACTACACTATACGGCTGCTTGGAGCCCCTCTCCACTGTCTTTTGTTTTGCAGTTACCAGGTTCCCAGCCTGTATAGAGGAGGTAGCCTACCTTTAGCCAAATTAGTTTCTTTATGTCTACAGTAGAGTCAGCTATACCTCCGTGTTTTGTGCAAATATAATAATAAATTAAAGGTGCTTTCTCATTGCTCCGTTGCAAAAATGCATATGTGTTTTCACCACAAGGCTTGTGTTTTAGATGCATTTTGATATTTTGATACAGATTCTATTCATTTCAAAGGGCAAGTGCCTTTTTGGTGCGTTTTTTTAAACTGAAACAAACATGCCTCAAAAGTACAGCAAACAGGGTTTTTAAAAACGCAACTCAACCGCAACTGATCAGTGTGAAGAGTTTTAAAGGATTTAAAGGGATGAATTTTTCTTCCACTTATTTTAACTGAACAAAAACTGATCAGTGTGAAAGCAGCTTAATTTATTTATGTAATTATTTGGTGAACAAATTAATAATTCATCTATTTTTATTTATTCCAGTTTTTACCAGTTCAGATAAGGACTTATATAATTTAAGAGCTGAGGAATTGTTAACCTGCCATGTAGTGTTATTGAAACTTTAGACATAGCTTTTCTCTGTTGAGCCATATTATTGGCATACTGGGTTTTAGGAGTTTCTGAACAGGTTGAGCTCCACAGGCATTTCGTCTTTGGCTTTTCTTGGTACCTTATCAAGCTGTTCTACGTTTCTTTCCCTGGATATACCTTGTTTATCCAGCTGTCCTTTTCTTTCCCTGTGGTTAAGGGTATATCTGGCCATATATGTAAAGATTTCTCTCATTCAGCTCAGCAGACTGAAGGGTAGAAATCCATATACTCCCCCATCCATGCTAAACAGCATGAATGGATAAATCTGTCACTGACTATTTTCTGACAGCCGACACCCATAGCTGAATAGTCACTGCAGCTGATTTGGTGACTTTTTTTCCAGTCAACTCCTTTGATTTCTTCATCGAAGATTGTCAGACAATGGTGTAAACAAGGCCCCCTCCTCTTAGATTGTAAGCTCCAAGGAGCAGGGCCCTCCTAACACTCTTGTATTGAACTGTATTGTTGCTGTATTGTCTCCCTTTATTTTCTAAAGCACTGAGCAAACTTTTGGCGCTATATAAATCCTGTATAATAATAATAATAATAATAATACAGCTCAGATTTTGGATGATTCACAGGAATCAAATGAAATTTGAAGCTGTGAATTGCCAGCCTAATGTATCCCAGGTTTTGGGCTGCTTTCTTGTTGTTGACCTCCTTGTTGGTTTTCAATTTGTTCTCTTGTTTCTTGTTCAAGTATTTTATTGATAACTGAAGTGGACAAAGCTCACAGACTGTAAACTATATAACGTCAAATAACAATCATCTCTCCTTGCAGGCAGCAATATCATGCATTGGGTAGATAAAAGTACTAATAAACACATGAATTAACATACAAAAATGTTAATCCCAATGTGTGTTTCATGAGAAATGGTATAGCAAAGTACAGTGTCTTGAAAAAGTATTCATACCTCTCAAAATGTTTCACATTTTCTCATGTTACATACAAAATGTAAATGTATTTTATTGGGATTTTATGTAATAGACCAACACAAAGTGGCACATAATTGTGAAGTGGAAGGAAAATGATAAATGGTTATCAAAATTTTTTACAAATAAATATCTGAAAAGTGTGGCATGCATATGTATTTAGCCCACTTTTCTTTGATACCCCTAATTAAAATCTAGTGGGACCAATTGCCTTCAGAAGTCACCTAATTAGTAAATAGAGTCCACTTGTGTGTAATTTAATCTCAGTGTATATATACAGCTGTTCTGTGAAGGTTTGTTAGAGAACATTAGTGAACAAACATTATCATGAAGGCCAAGGAACACACCAGACAGGTCAGGGATAAAGTTGTGGATACGTTTAAAGCAGGGTTAGGTTATTTAAAATATCTCAAGCTTTGAACATCTCATAGAACAATGTTCAGTCTATCATCTGAAAATGGAAAGAGTATGGCACAACTGCAAACCTACCAAGACATGGCCGTCCACCTAAACAGACAGGCCGGGCAAGGAGAGAAATAATCAGAGAAACAGCCAAGAGGCTCATGGTAACTTTGGAGGAGCTGCAGAGATCTACAGCTCAGATAGGAGAATCTGTCCACAGGACAACCATTAGTCATGCACTCCACAAATCTGGCCTTTTATGGAAGAGTGGCAAGGAGAAAGCCAATGTTGAAAAAGCCATAAGGAGTCCCGTTAGCAGTTTGTGAGAAGTCATGAGGGGGACACAGCAAACATGTGGAAGGTGCTCTGGTCAGATGAGACCAAAATTGAACTTTTTGGCCTAAAAGTAAAATGCTATGTGTGGCGGAAAACTAACACTGCACATCACCCTGGACACCCCATCCACACTGTGAAACCTGGTGGTGGCAGCATCATGTTGTGGGGATGCTTTTCTTCAGGAGGAACAGGGAAGCTGGTCAGAGTTGATGAGAAGATGGATGCAGCCAAATACAGGGCAATCTTAGAAGAAAACATGTTAGTCTGCAAAAGACTTGAGACTGGGGCGGAGGTTCACCTTCCAGCAGGACAACGACCCTAAACATACATCCAGAGCTACAATGGAA